TTTGACAAATTGTCCAATAACATCAGTGGGTGCTTGTCGATGCTCACCTGAAATATGTCCCAACCCACATGTGTGCTCACGGGTATATGTGCTAACAATAAATTTTTTAGACTCCGCCAACCTTCTACAATAAACCCGCCACTTGCATTTTCGGTCACGACATGCAACCGTCACTACCGATGAATTAGACTTTTTGGTGATGAACTAAAAATTACCTCTCACAGCAACAAGTTTTAGCTTCCTCATCACTTCTTCTTTGTTGTCAAATAAATACCCTACGCGCAAGTCTGATCCATCAGTAAAAACATGAGTTGATTCACTACTACCCACAATTTCCACCTTTGAACCTGCATAAAGGACTATAGTCTTCTCTTCCTCACAAACTACACCTTCTGCATAATCTGTATTTATAGGAATCTCTACATTTGCGGGAACATGTACGAGGTCCTCCTCGTCAATATTTTCATTCTGCCCCACATGACCAACCTTTTCTACAGTGTCTTCGTTACCACCAAAATCATCGCCTACTCTTGATTTTTCAACTAAAAAATCAATGCCCTCGTAGTTAAATTTAAAATCAGCATTCTCTCTACCAACTTCCTTGTTATCCCCTTCCTTTGGACCAACTTCCTACGGCTCATGTACAAAAGAAACCATTAAAATCGACCTCGAACCGTTATCGCCCATATCAACCATATATAACTTCACACCTTCATCCGACTTTAATATAGTAAGAGGTATCTTATAATGTTTAGGAACTTTGCTTAAAACATACTTCACAACTATATCACTATGTGAGCAACTCAAATCACCTCTTTTAATTATTGCATCAATTAACTCATCAAAACTAACCTCTATGCTCACAGTAATTGGTATAACTTCTTTGCTCTTCCCAATCCACTTCCAGCATATTTCTTCCTCCACCCACTCACCAAAATATTCAACACCCAAAACAACTTGTCCCATGTCTAATAATAGCCAAGTACCTATAATGCCAGAAAAACAAATTATTAACTGATGTATTAAGAGTTGACAAATTTTAAAAAGCATCTGCAGAGTTGCTTAAGGGATCTGGTGTATCGCTTACTAGATCTCTTAAGCGATCCATTATATCGCTTAAGTGATCTAGTATAAATAAGTCTGAAATCTTAAGCGATCTTCTGCCATTTACCTGATTGCTTAAGCGATCTTCTACTATATCCCTGATCGTTTAAGCGATCTGTAATCTGCTGTATTATACCAGACATACTAGATCGCTTAAGCAATACACCAGATTGCTTAAGCGATCCATCATATCCAGAACACATTTTCAGTCATCTCCACCAACAATCAGTGCTACCACCCCCTAAACCCAACTACCCACAATGCAAGAAAATATTCAACAAATTTCACTCCTTTCAACTTGCATTACTTCAAGCACAACCCAATAACCTAAACAACTAAATCAAAATCATAACCCAAACCCAATCCATCATTAAATCGAAATATAAAATGCAAAGAGGAGATACACATACCTGGACGAAATGTCAGGAGGAGGAGGTGGTGGATCTGTGGCGAAGAAGATGTTAATGGCAGAGGAAGAAGAAAGTGTTAATGGCAGAGGAAGAAGAAGATGTAGACGAAGAAGAAGATGCAGACGAAGAAGAAGATGTAGACGAAGCTTAGGAGAAACAGCAACCAGGGGAGGGATGCGTTAATGGCAGGAGGAAGAAGAAGAAGGTGTTTGGGTTTGTTTGCAAGAATTTCGGCTCTTTTGGGACATATTATAATTTTTAAAAGATTGCATAATACTTCATTAATCCTAATTAACCACTAATCATGTCTAATCAACCTTAATCAATAATAAGGCTATTTACTTAACACTTTCAAACTACATAGCTTTTTAATTAAATTTGAACTTGATTTGATCTTTTAATAAAATACCCCGATAAATCCCTTTCGTTGTATGATATATTTTATTAATTCACCACTAATAAAATCCATGGTCACGACCAGCCCGTCCAAAATATGAACGTGGTCAATTAAGATGCCATTTTCAATGATTGATTAGTCCTATATCACTAACACTTGGCTTGACAACCCACCAAAGCCAAGCGATCTTTAACTAGTTAATAGAAAATCATATTGAAGAACTAATCCAAATCAGTTTAGCATAATGAAGTTTTATATAAAAAAGTGAAAACAATAGAGTAGGCAAGGATCACGTGTGACAATGATGTATAGTTTGTTTTTAGTCCGAAAACAATTCAAGATATTTTGCTAAACAAACAATTATGTAATGTACAATTATTTGCAAATCATTTGCTTTCGTTAGCCCTTAATAGTAAGGGTGTTCAAAAGAACCGGTTGGAACTGAAACTGGCGGGTACCCTGAGTTTGGTTTTGGTTCCTACCTAGAACCAATCGTCAATGGGTAGGTTCCGGTTCCAAATTTTTGGAACTGTTACTGTGCGATTCCAATTCTGGTTTTGGTTCCTATAGTTAGGAACCGAAACTAGAAATTAGAACCAGGAACCAGGAACCGAGACTAATATAAAATAAAATTAAAAATTAGGGGGGTTAATAAAAGCTTTTGTAGAAAAAATAATGTGAATACATTTATATTTATATTTCATAACATTTAAAGTAAGTTGGTTTGACTTTTGAGAATCTACCTTTACAAAGTAATGGAGTTTGTAATTTTGAATTTTGAATTTTGAATTTTGAATTTTGAATTTTGAATTTTGAATTTTGAATTTTGAATTTATAATTTGTAATTTTATTTTTGTTAACAAGTGCCAGGTTGGGGGGGTATTTGTAAGTTTTTAAGGGTTTTTTTGTCATTTTAAAAACTTTTAAGGGGTCATTGTAATTTTATAGGGTACCCAGAACCGAAACCGGAACCGTTGTTACAGGTTCTGGTTCTGGGTACCTAGGAACCGGAACCGTCGGTTCTGGTTCTGATTCCGGTTCCAAATTTCAAGAAACCGTCGGTTCCGGTTCCGGTTCCTTCAAAAAGTGCAGAGTACCTGAAACCGAACACCCCTACTTAATAGACTCTACCAGTCAACCAGCATTTTATATTACATATAAGTTGATTAATTAATGAAATAAACAAATGAAGGTTGGTAAAGGGTAAGTGTAACACTTCAAAACATTACACATCTCAAGACACATGACCTTATTAGCCATTGCCTATTTGTCAGACATCCTATTATAATCTTTTATTATATTCTATAGAGTAAAGGACATGTTCCCACTCAAAAGATTAACGAAAACCCAAGTTTCTGCCCTCGATTTCATTTATTTCAGATACCCACCTTTAAATTAATATTGTTAATGATTTTTGGGTTCTGACCTAATATTGAGAATGTTATTATCATGCTGCCCTTACCAATAAATTACTTTTTAACCCAAATAGATTTGGATTTTTTGGGTAGTTGTAAGGGAGGGGAAAATCGGGAGAAAAGGCTCAGATCCAACCAAAATAGAGGCGAACGAGTCTAAGGGATGGATGGGTTTTGTCAGGGATGAGTGGGGGAAGCTAGTGGTCATGACGGTGATGTTAAACGGCGTTGGAATCCGGCTAGATCTAGACTTTTCCAGCAATCGTGAGGGAGGGGAAAATCGAGGATAAAAGGCTTCGATTTGGCCAAAATGGAGGCGGAAGAGGTTGGGGGATGGATGGGTTTTGTCAGGGATGACTAGGGGAAGCTAGTGGTGGTGGCAATGATGTCAAATGACGTTGGAATCCAGTTAGATCTTGATTTTTCCAACAGCCGTGAGGGAGGGGAAAATCGTGGAGAAAAGGCTTAGATCCAGCCAAAATGGAGATGAACGAGATTGGGAGATGGATGGGTTTTGTCAAGGATGAGGAGGGGAAGCTAGTGGTGGTGGCGGTGAAGTCAAATGGCGTTGGAATCAGGCCATATTTGGATTTTTCCGACAGTCGCAAGGGAAGGGAGTGATGAGGGGTGCTTGTGAGAGAAATTTGGGATGTAAAGAGTAATTTTGAAATTTTCATTTTTATTTAAGATTTAATACAATTCAAATGACCATTTTACCCTTTCACCGTTACGTTAAATGATTTTTTGTTAATTTAAAGGTGAGAATGTGGAATAAATGAAACCTGGGGTGGGAACTTGAAATTTTGCCAATCTCTGGTGGGAACTCGGAACATGACGTTTACTCTATTCTATATTATATTGACTTAAAAAGATCTAATGATCTATCATGTAGCCAGTAGCCACTGATCTCAATTGAAAGCATGCTTTGTGTTTGAGGGTTTTTTCCAGTACTGAAGATAACATTACATTGAAGAATCACCATATAAGACTATGATTCATCATAAACAATTAGGGGTTTCAATATTTATTGGCACAGTGATCCAGTGACTTATTATCATTTTTTAGCCTTTTTTTTTCTTTATATATATTGTCCAATTACAAGCGCAATTGGTTACTTACATGGCCAAAAAATGATTTCCCATACTCCACTATATTAATTCTCTTCTATATGTCTTAACACATCAACATCGTCATACAGCATCACCTTCAACACCTAGTAAAAGCAGATTGAGGCTTAAAAGCCGACAATGCAGAACTCGACTTAAATACACAGCTTATACATAGAATTCAATATATCCTCAGTACAATATCTACCGACTTGTTATATAAATTGCAAATTTCATGATACTGTGCTCTAAGGGGGCAATACAAACCTGTCAAGTGACACTAGCAAATAATTGAAAACAGTAAGTTCACCGAAAAACAAACACATAAGAAAGAGCATCATGACGTTATCCAAATTCTAAACTCACCTCCGCCCTTCAGCTACCACCCCCTCAACTAGTATGTAGTATGTACAAAAACATCTAGGGACTAATGCTCATTTCACCAGCGAGTTTAACCATCATAAAGTGTAATAGGCTGTTCTTCCATTAGGCTAAAAAGCACCGACTGAGAGCCCCAAATGCAGATGTAATAGATCATAAAGGTACACTTAATGATACTACCGCTATATGACCAAACTCTAGACACCAATTTGCATTATATTAAAGCATGTGATACATAAAACTAAATATTTAATCAGTAACCAAAATTTCGATATAACATAAACTAACAAAGATCAACGAACAATCCAAACAAGTCCACAGGGTTTGATTGCAGAAAAAGAAAAAAAGAAAACACAGGTCCTAGAATGAGTAATCCAGATAGATATTCTGAGAAAATACTGAAATTGATCTTTAGTCTTCCTCCTCTCCCTCATTCTCGGCAATATTGAAGTACCGCAACTCATACACACTTCGGTCCTTGCTTGATGCAATCACCCGAAGCCAATCTCGCACATTGTGCTTCTTCAAGTACTTCTTAGTCAAGTACTTCAAATACCTGGAAACAGTAAAAAAAGTGGTGCAAAATTGTCAAGCACAAGATAATTAAAATGATATGTTAGGTATACATATGCAATATTAATAAGGCACCACAAGTAATATGTAACTTTTGAAGGATTGGCATGTTGACAATTTCTATAATAGCTTTCTAATAGATTAAGAGCTTAAAGTCACAAGTTCTTCAGAAATTTAAGTTGTTTGGTTGCATCACAAAAGTGATTATAGGATTATAAATAAGCTATTTTATGCCTACAAGGAAAAGCTCAAAATTTGAAAATTATTGTTGAAATTTAAAAAATATACCCCAACTATATAATGAATTCAAGTATTCTTATTTATGTATATCAATTTACGCCAACAAAGCTCTTTTACACTTTTCTAATTAAAGAACTAACAAATTTTCATAAAAGCTTCATTTTGTAAGCTCAACTTCAAAAAGCCATATCAAATGGACCTTAATAGCCTTCTCCTACCTTGAAATATCAAAACTATCATCACAATATCTGCAATGAAAATAATATAGTACAAGCTACTAAGCAAAATCATCTCACTGCTAGCCGGATATCCTTACCACAAAAATTAAGAAAAAATTTCACATGCAGAAGCAAATATCCATATGCAATCAAACAACACCAATAACCACTACATGAACACAAGTGCCCCCAGTAGTATCCATCAAAATCTTGTTTTCTAGGTTCCTACAATACAAAAGTGGTTCATTCTGAATGTGACCTTAATGGAAAGTAAAAGCAATTGCATAACTTAATGTAAAAGGATATGCTTAGCCGCCATATCAAATGCTAATCTAATGAAACGACCACTTAAAAATCTGCTTGCGAGTTTGTTTCAATAAAAGATATGGCTTGCGATTTGATAAATCCCCAACGTGCAACTTTCAAATTTCACTAAAAAGGAGCAAATTGTTCAACAACTATTAAAATCAAAACTAAAAATAAAATCGCTACCAATTAGCAGATCCATTTCTCTAATCAAATCACTAAACAAGACACAAGTAATTAGAAAATGGTAGTGACGCTTCAACATCTTTAAGAAGCATAGTAGATTTAAATAACAAACAACTAAGTACGAAAATACCTTTTAGAGAAGTTGCTGTCGGATATGACAGTGATCTTTGTCTTCTCACGTGTAACGGTCACGGAGTCACCAAGAGCACCAGCCTTGCCACCGACCTTGATCCGCTCCTGGAGGAACTTTTCGAGAGAGGCGATATCCATGATTTTATCCTCCACAGGCTTAGCGCAATCTATCACGAACGTCGCTCCCTTCTTCTTTCCCTTGGCTCCTGCTGCTGCTCCGCGACTCATTTTCGCTTCTCTTCTCGCAACTCTAAATCAACTAACCAACAAGTGCTCTATTGGGCAACTGTGGCTGTGTTAAGAATGAATGAAGATATAAGGCGGGCTACGAAAGAATTGGCTGACTCTCTAGGGTTTCGGGTTTTATATCGACCAAGCGACGTCGTTTAACTTTTTTTTTTTTTTTTTTTTAATCCACTCTAATCTTTTGGCTTTTTTGCTGCGGTTATGAGAAGGGTTAAAATGACGCCGTTTAGACTTTAGAGGTACTTTCCGAAAGCACGTCACCTGGCGGAAGCGTAGAATACTAGAGTATGGTACTTCCCGAATAACACCAGTCTATTACAATCTTACCGAAATTACCCCCACTTGCTTCTTATGTTGTAGCTAGTAAAGTGACTGGAAATGAGATATGGAAGAAGATCTCAGCGACGCCGTTCCATGCTCTTCCCTTACCGTTGATTCCATCCTTCGTGTCGGAACGGTAACGAAAATCAATAGATTATTTCATGATTCTAGTTCAACCTTAGAAGCACCAAACCCTTGCTACTCAAAAATTATTTTGATTCCTTTTTCAGGCTGGTGCAATTTGGGGACTGTGTACAGGTCCACAAGAAGCTCGTAAAAGAAGTAAAATGCGTACAAAATTTTAAGATAAATCAACTAGACTTCTTTTCTTTCTTTAAATTAATACTAATTTCCCGCCATTGCTATAATTTACAGGTCTGACTGGCATTCGAAGAGTTTCCTTTGTGGTATTATTGTTTTTTCTTTTTCTTTTTTTATTCCTTTGAAATTCTAATACATCATTTCTTCTTTGCTCAGTTCCTCATGTAACGTTTGACCTTCAAGATATTGATACATTTTTTTAATCTGATTTGCAGACAAAATCAATTGGTAAAATTGGCTTTCAATGTGGTAAGTAGTCCGGGTTAATCTTAGTTTGCTTGCCATGTTCAATTGTTAATTGCATAATTAGGCATAGTGTTGCCATCGAACTTTACAAGGTAGTGAAAGGAGTGGGATATATGTTATGAAAAAAAAGCAAGCTTCGGTGGTCAATTTTATGCCACATTTTTCATGAAAATACTTTCTGAGCTTTTTAACTCGGGAAAATGGGGAATAATGGTACATAAGCTTTGTGCAATGCTTCAAAATAATGATCGTAAACCATATGGCATGCTTGCCAATGTTTTCTGTTGCCCTCACCATCTTTCACCACTTCTCTTTTTTGATTATTCTATTTTTATTTTAGTTCATCAAGCCTGTTGTCTTATGGTGTTTCTTGAATCACCTTTTTGTTTTTTCTTGATGTAAGAACTTGATCTTATTTGACTTGCTTAGTGACTCAGTAAATTACTCAATTTTTTTATATTTTTATAGGACTTGTTGCTGGTGTCTTTACTAGTACCCGCTGTGGAATTCAGAGATACCGAAGACAGAATGATTGGGTAAGTTGTACATACGATCCATTTAATTTTATGCTTTTAGTAATTTTTTTTCTTTGTTGACACAAATGTAAGCTTGTCAATCCAATACTATGAGGCTATCAGCATCCACAGTTATTTGCCTCAATCCATTTGTTTAATATTGCAAACTTTGGTATAAATTTGTACGGATCGTTAAGTATTTATTGTATTGTATTGAGCACAAAGCCCTGTTGGAGCGTCATGATTTGATTCACATAGTGTTAGGATCCCACATTAGAGGGAGAATGGATGGGCATGTGGTTTATAAGGAGTTGAGCACCCTCCTTTGGCAAGCCGGTTTTCTAAAGAGAGTTCTACCCAAGTCCATAAAAGGACCACTACTCAGCCCAATTCCTATCAAAGGCCCATTGTCTAGCCCAATTCCTATCAATTTGGGAGTGGGATCCTATCACATAACAATATTTTCGCCCTGCTAGTACCAACTTCTGTAGACTGAAAAGAGTTATAGTAACAACTTCTCCATCTCAATCTCAATCTATGGAAGTTTCATGATTGCAGGAAATTGACCTTAAAGTAGTGTCCCCAAAGATGAGTTGGCTATTTTTTTTTAGTGCAGTTTAGATGATAAACCGTATTGCTAATGAGTCTAGATAGCATGATGCATATGCAAGTGAAAGCATCTTCATAACTAGCAAATATTGGGTGCTTGATACACAAACATCTGTGTAGGAAGCCATACCAGAAATCCCATGGAGGGAGGATTATATGATGCAAATTCAAAGAATTTACCTTGTAATTAAAGATGTGCTGGGATGTTTGTTTATCTCCTGGTTTGAGGTATCATTTCATTTTTTTCAAGTGAAGCTTTTGTGCTTGGCAGCCAGCTCTAATGGATTCTTTGAGTTTCATTGGATGACAATTCAAGTACGTAAAATATCTGCATATATGTAATAGTTTGTTGGCTCATCTACCCTTACAATATTGGATAGGACAAGATTGATTTTGGGCTGTTCACTTCTTGTTAAAAGGAGTACATTTTTTATATCAGGAGCAATATGAAGATTCAAAGAACTTGAGCTTTCTGATGCTTGTTCATAACTTTGATTTGTAGATATGAACATGGTGTGATGGCCTACTAATGGACTTTTTCAAGTTTTTGTCTCCTTACAGATAAGTTTTTGTCTCCTTACAGATAAATGCTTTTATTGCGGGTGGTGTGGCCGGAGCATTAGCTGCTGCTGGGACACGGAGCTTGACGCAGGTCATTGGCATGGCTGGCCTGGTCTCTGCCTTCAGCGCTGCTGCTGACTACTCTAGAACAAACTGAATATCTCCTTGCAAAAGTCGGCAGAGGAGTATTGAGGTGATTCTCACCCAGTTGCTTCTTTTTGGATTTATCATTAATCTTCATGCCTCTCTGTTTGGCTCTCTTTTTTCCTGCCGCTGCTTATATTGAAGTTTTCACCTGAGATACTTGATGTTGCCCTTAGCTTTATGGATACAAAACTAGATATATTATCCTGCTAGAAGTTGTGACCAGTATAGACATTTTTTCAATTTTTAATGTAAGAATTGAATTCACATGGTAAATAAAGCTAATGCAAGTTTTACTTTGTCATTTCTGTTGCTGTCCACAAGGAGATACAAGAGTTGAATGTAAATTTCTAAAAATCAGTATAAAGCTGATGGGTAATCTTTGATACGCCTGAGAATTACTCTCTTGTGCTAGATTATGAGCTCGTATTGTCGATCAAGATAAAAGCTTCAGCATTTAGTCATTTTACATATATAACTCACAGTCCGACTTCATGCAAATCTCTTTTCTGGGCTTTCCCTTTGTGGGCTGCCCTTTCAATTGGGACTATTTGTAGCTTTCTCTGGCTTCTATTTTGAGTTACCTTCTAGTCATACTATTTCATACTTCTTAGCACAAAGCCATTCATTAGATCTATGTTACCTATCTCATTGATTTGACAACTTAAGACCATAGACACTGTCATTTTCTGAAAGCCTAAGTGAAATTTCCATTCAGCTTGTGTTCCCTTTTAGCACATAACTGGAATGGTAGACAGATTGCTCTTTAGTTTTTTTCTCTATCTATGCACATAGGTATCATCTTACAAATTAAATTGAAATGATTATTAACCTTAAGTTTCATTTGTGCCTGGACCAGGAGTTAAATTTCGATGCTTCCTTGTTTCTGTCAGCTTGTAAACCAGCTATGAAATGTATGCTATGTGTGTTCTTTTGTAGCTTGGTAAATCAACAATATCATAGTACTTGCTGAATCAATCACACAGGTCAACAATGCATCCACGGAACTAGTAGATTACCAAACACCTTAGATCTCAAGTGATCCATGAAAGCACTGACAAATAAGATTAAAATTGGGGGTTGCAGGGGATGTGGCAGTTGTTGGGACTTCAATCTACTCGGGTATCCGATGTCAGGAGGAAACAAATTTGATATTGTCAAATTAAGAATCAGATTGAAACTTTCTTGTTGAATGAGAATGGCTTTCTGATGTGCCACATCCCTTGTGGATAGGACAAAACACGTTAATAAGTTCTGTTTGTCAAATAACAACTTCCCCGAAAACTTGATATGTAGTTACATGACTTGTAGATGCAAGTTCAGTAATGAAAAACTAATTTAATTTTTATGCAACAGACTATTAAAACAAGTAAACAACCCTTTCCTAGTTCTGACATGTCCTCATCTAGCAGAGTATTTTGACAGACTTGAATTGACCCTTTTAATGCAACTGCATTGTTTTATGTCATTGAAACAGTATTTATTGACCTCTATAGCGTCCACATTGATGGGCATGTTTGGTCGATTATCTACTTTTTTTTTTTTTTTTTTAAATTATAAGCATTTGAAAGAGATTGAAAATGAGACGTTTGTGAGTGCATAATGTTTAATAATTTGGTTTTGAATTATTCACCAATGTCTAGGATGGCAGATGGCTGCCATTTCAGTATCTGTGTGCCCCGTAAACATTTATTGGTCAAAGTTAAGATTTCATTAATAATGATTAAAATTCTTTGTATTTAATATACATTATTATAAGGGTAATTCGATCTAATGTCAATTGAATATCTTCCTGGGAACTATCTCCATTACATTTGAACCCATCACTGAGATTAGATCAGCCTATTGTAACTTCAAGTGTTTCCAACTTTCCATCACCCAGATTCTCCCTCCCTAATCACTCCCGATATCTGAAATTATCGTGGTCGAAAAATTAGTTTGGTTCTGTTGGTCACTTATTGAAACTTTACTTGGAAATGCTAATGTTGTCACCCTCATATGGATCACAATTTCACTTAAGGTAATCAAAGTTTAAAAAATAATAAATGGGTCTGGTAATTGCTAACTTGTCGACTTTCTTTGTTCATGGAAACACGAAGTTGAAAGGATTGCTTAATTATTGATAAAAAAAAAAAAAAATAGATTAGTTTAAAATTAAAATGTTCAAGGTCATTTTTTTCCCTGCTGTGTTTATGAAAATATTTGAAGTGATGCTTAGGCACGAATACGATACGATTAAATGAAGAACCGGACCGGTAGCAGAGTTGACTGCAATGTCCCATCTATCCCATGATATAATTAATGGGCTTGGTTGTTGAAGTTGATGTGGTTTGAATTGCTGTGCTAGTGCAACAACATTGGTTGGCATTTACTCTCCTGCTTCCTCCTACCTCAGTTTTATCAATCACTCCTATATTAGAATCCAATTTCGGAAGCCTGTAGACAAAAAATGATCCTGTTCCTTATATGATGTTGCTGTGTTACTGAGAGCGATGTGGTTGATCATTAAACCATATTCATTGCTCAATACTCATGATGTGACATTTTCCGTGGGATGAATTTCACCACCTACCGTTATCAACAGGGTGACAACATGGGTTTTGGTGAAACGACACTTTCCCATCTGATAAGTTTTAAAACGACACTTTTTCACCCTCTGTTATGTTTCCCTTCTAAAGAAGGGTAGGATAGTCAATTTTTGTCAAGTCTCATAAATCAAAATTTAAAAATTGAAATATGCTTTTTCCTTTCCTTTCCTTCTCTTTTTTTTTTTCCTTATCTTTCCTTCGCCATTAGCTCTTCCTTCTACGTTGGAGGCTAAGACGTCGGCGTAACCTGCAACCGCCAGCAAGGTTGATAGCATCACAACCTTTAGCCACAAGCTGGGTTGGTTGCGATGCTACCAACTCAGCTCGCAGCCAATCAAATCACGGTCGAAGGCAACGTCATAGACACCCAACTTGACCATGACATTGACACCGACACCTCAGCCCTCTTTCTTTTCTTGCTCACAATTTTTCTTTTGAATCTTATGGTCTGTGCGTTTGTGATTTTGGGGTTTATTTTTTGTGGATTTTTAGTGGTTGGAGGATTTGAAGATTCTTTTCTTGAAATTGGTGTTTTGCGTTTGTTGGATGTTGAATTTTGTGTTGTGTGGGTCTGTGAAAAGAGTTTGTATATGAATTTTAATTGTTAAATTTCAGTAGAGATAAAAAAAACTTCAATGGGTTTGCTGGATGTTATGTTATGTTGTTTGGGTTCCTGAAAAAAACCTGTATATGAATTTCAATTGAATAATATCAGTAGAGATTGGAAATTTTAATGGGTTTGATGGAGGAAAGAGAAGAAGAAGATGATATGGGCAGAATACATTTGGTGAAGGAAGGAGAAGAAGATGATGATTTGGGCATAATACATTTGGTGGAGGAAGGAGAAGAAGAAGATGATGAACAGCAGGAAATTAAGGTTGTAGAATGAAAGAAAGATGTTAGAGAAGCCATGTGCGTTTGAGATTTTTGGGTAGTGGGTACTATGGTCCATGCGAATACTAGAAAAATAAAAATTTGATCCTACAAAATGTTGTTGTTGTTCCAGAGAGTGCGTATGGTGTGGGTAGTAAAGAAGTGAAAGGAGAGACAGAAACCAGTCAAAAGAAAAAAAAAAAAAAAATTGATCTGATTTTGTCATGTTTCTGCTTTTTCTCTCTCTGTAGAATTTTCTAAATGTTTATTTTGATACCCGCCCAGCAAACTTTTATTATTGCTCAATTACAAGGTATTGTCATTATTAATGGGAATGTAAATTTACAATTTGTCTCTATAACTTTTTATTAAAAATAATGTTTTACTGGAATTTAAGTAAATTTTATATACAACTTTCAAATTTAAAGAGAGGGTATATTGATAATTGACTTTGTTGCATGACATAAAATAATAATAAAATTATTAAATAGTAAAGGGTATTTTTTGTCTTTATAATCAAATAATAACAGATTTTACTAATGAAGTATGACAGTAGATAGAAAGGTGTGATTTTGAAACTTGACGGATGAGAAAGTCTCCATTCACCAGACGTGGGAAATAGTCAGTTCTCCCTATCAACATGGGCTTTCGCATTAAAAAATGGTGCACGTACCTCGGTGAACACCAACAACATTATATCATTATTTTAGCCATACTGAGGCTTCCGCATTAAAAAATGGTGCACGTACCTCGGTGAACACCAACAACATTATATCATTATTTTAGCCATACTAATTACATTTTGTTATGCATGGGAAAATAGGGTTAATGTGGTGCTCAGTTAAGTACGAAAGGTCAGATCTCAGGAAGAGTTTACTGGTATTCTGACGTAGCTGCATCGTGTTATCATGGTTACACCCACAGCTTACTTCCGTAAGAATAATGGGTGCATGTCAGGCCAGCCAGGAGTTGTGGTGATCCCACGTGTCCAATCCCTATAGTAAATCACGTGAATTACTCTAAAAGAAGGATTTGCACGGATCATCCCATCATCTTACAGATTCAGTGATCATTACCTCAAGGCATCCCATTATAAGTTGAGAGCTCCTCTCTCATTAAGGGGATTCACATATTTACTCTTGACCAATCTCTCTCTCTCTCTAGAATAGACAGCCTTTGATACCTTGTATCGTTAGTGTAAAGTCAGTCGTCTAAAACAACATGACCCTTATCATTAATAAAATCATCAGTGGACGTAGGATTTGTTTCCATAGCATCCGAACCACTTTAAAACTCCTTTCTTACTGCATTTACTGTCATTTTCCTTTCCATTCACATGTGTCTTTTGGGCCAACTCAACATTTCACACGTGAGTTTCGTTGGTGTCAAAATCACGCATCAACAGTTTGGTGCTAGAAGAAGGGCTGATTTAGTGTTCATCATTCATCAGGAGAATCTCCAACCTACCGGTCCTACAGCAACAAATGGCCCGCCAACCAGAACCTGAGCAAACCAACTAGGGCGCTGAGGGGCTCCCCCAAGTTCAGGGAGACACTTCTTCCAAAAAACCTTCAGCCCCGTAAAATGCTGCAGGAGATATCCCGTCTAGTTTACAGCTTGACCCTGTTATTAGAAGCTACCTGGAGAGGTTTGACAATACTCTCTAGACGATCAACCGAAGGCTGGACCGTTTGGACCAAGGCGTGCCATCCAAGTTAGTTGCGGCGGTGCAACCGCCAAAAATGCCTACAGGTCGCCCGAAAGCGCGGCAAAGGGAAATAGCCCGTGCCGCGAGCACTGCAGCGCGTAGATGAAAGGGTAAGCAAGTGGCAAAAAACAAGCC